AGTCCTGTTTATACCCTTTTGGTCACAGGTAGATACAGATATAGGATCGGACTTCAAAGAGGATATCAATGTATATCTAAAAACTTAATAATAAAAAACATTTAATATAATTAATTAATTTGATTATTCTATAACTATAAAGAAAACTTTATATAATCGCCAATCCTTAATCAAAAGCAAATATTCAAATTCTTAATCTGATTTATTTAATTCTGAGTCCGACACGTTTTATAATTCGTAAAGTCTATACAGTGTAAAGGAGTGAAGGTAGGTGTGAAATCATAGGAGTAGTAGTAGTAGTAGTAGTAGTATTATTTTACATCGGGAGAGCAGCTTAGGGCTGCCCTCAGAACCTCCCTAGGGGTATGCAGATGTTCTAAGCTATAGTCTTACGATATATGAAATGAGAGTGCCTTAGAAAGAAAAGTGAAAGCCTTACAGCTATTCCCAGTAATTGTATGTTACCTTCCAATTTGTACATTTTTTCCTCCGTCGGTTGAGGTGGTTCTACTGTCTTGCCTGGTGTAGGCAGGTATACCTTTGTTGTAGACTTGCCATTGTTTGTACTAGGTGAATTGGTGAATTGCTTTTGATATAGCAATTTGAATATTTGTTATGCTCTGGGAAACGTTTTCAGATATACTTTTGTATATCTTGTTGATATTTAATCAGGTTTTTTATACCTATTGATAATTTTGTTTCTCTGTATACACTCTGTAAAAAGAGTTGATAGTTTTGTTTGTATCGTACATTGCAAATCGATCCTGGTAGTGGGTGTGTATTGTCACAAGGTTTTTAGGTTGTTTGTTTTAAGTAAAATGTAGGCTTATGGTCCTCTACTTTGGGCATATATCTTCATAAAACTTTGTAAGCTTTAGCAGCTTTACAAAATCCATAGGGTTGTTTAAGATTTAATGTAGGTATTGGATATCTTCCTTATTTATCAATAATGGTTTGAAGGGCTTATTTAGCTATTAATCAAAGGTGCCTCTTGCCTTCCGGCAGTGGATCAGATGGGCAGGAGTTTTGGACCTTCCGCAGAAGTATTCTGTGTTTCCTGAGTGTCCGAATTTCCTGTGATATTAGTTGAAATCCCTATGTAAGGTTTGGATGGTTATCAATCTGTATAGAACTACTCGTGGGAGTAAGAGCTTTGATAGTGGTTTGACTTTATATACCAGATCCCATTGTTTGTACCACAGCGAAAGGGCTGGTTTGTATAATGTTTACTATTCTTGATGGGTCTTTTCTCTGAGGATATATATAATCGATCTTACTCCATTGTATATAGGTTGAAATACTGGTCCAGTATTCCAATTGGGTTTCTTGATGCCAAGGTTGACAAGGTAATCAATTGCCTTGTTTCCCTCAATACTTTCATGTCCCGGTAACCACTTGATACGAATATCGTTGTCCTTTATAGCCTTGTAACAGTTGTTGAATGCCCATTGTAATAATATGGAGGTGTTGACCTTTATACCCCAGATAACCGAAACGCTGTCGATGCATATCCAGATTTTCTGATTGGTGTACCTGGCGTCCTTGAGGGTGCGTTCCAGGCTTTTCCATGCTCCAATGGCTTCCGTGTCGAAGACGTAGGACTGGGTATTGATGGAGCCAGCAAAAGTAGATTATATTACAACTATTTACTAGAATAAGATTATAATACAAAGTAGGTTCGCTACGCCTACAAACGCTTTCCCGGCTCACTATGATAAAGCTACTAGTACTAGACTTTTGTAGAATCTTCTGATTACATATAAACCATCTCCCATGTGAATGCCTTCGGAGGCTTTGGTTTACATCAAACCTTTATTTCACGTTTCTATCTTTATTTGCTTTTTAAGCTTATCCAATATCTTCTTTGCCAACTGTTTAATACCCTATTATAAACTGATACATGTATTCGTCCTCTCGAGTTATACAGACAGTATCATTATTGCTATTATTGTATATTACGCTCTGCAGTACATGAATACTGTTTTGTATTACCTTGCCGGATCTTTTTTTTATACAAAACCAACCATGTCTCGCAGGCTTGCTATATTTATATCCTTAACCAAACAATGTAATCATAATGTTTCTAACCTATTAATCA